TGTGGTTGATCATATCTTACATATACAGTATATCCTATCTAATGGGTCTGGAATCACAGGTTAGTTAAAGTAGTTCCAATGATAGAAAAACCCCAAAGTGTTCACAGTAAGTGAACGAACGCTGCTTCGTGAATATACAGTCAGTCGTTTTTCAATATTGCAGTTTGAACTCCATAACATCCAGAGCTGCGTCCTAGAACAGCTGCCAAAGTATTCAAGCAGAACTGCAACCCAAAACATCCCCACTCCAGCTAAGTCACTGCTGTGTTGACTGTTGTCGGTCCTTAACTTCAGTGCTGTGTACTGTAAACAACAGTGGATTAGTTGTTTCCATTCTTCAGTTTTGGGCTCTTATTAATAGCTCTCTGCTCTACGTACAGTTCAGTCAGGTAATGGTTACACATGCTCTGGTGGTGGGCCAGGGTCAATGCTGCTTTGAGGGGAGGGGCTCAGACCCTCCGCTGCAGTGTGTCTTTTCCTTAGGACTGAAAATGAGTAACAAGTTACAGTATAATGCACCCAGACAGTTATAAGTGCCATTTTATTTGTGTTTAAATGACACCATAGAAAACGATCCTATCAGCCTTCACATGAGAAAATCTATTGTAGCCCCACTCCGTTCAATCCCCTTGCATTTCTCTCTTTTAATCTGCCTCGGCCTCAGAGGTATCAGCTGTGAAAACAAGGTCAACGATTAGCATTCAAAGCCAACGACAAAGCGAGCAGCCCGTTCAATACCAGTCAGGTATGAGAGGCACGGGCTCAGCGCAAAGCCCCTGGAACAGCCCCTCGTACTCAGGGTGAAATTAAAAACAAGACCTCCATAAATAAAACAGAGCTGGGTTTGTGACTCTGCAGCATTTAGATGCATATGGGAAGCGGGGGGAGGAGGGGTGTGGGGGTCACAATGTGCGCTGAGGGACAGGCTTAGTTTTGAGCTAAGGGATGGGGGGCACATCGTCAAGAGGCAGAGGATTTAGTATATACTGTATTTCACAAGAAGAGGATTAAAAACAAAACACACTGGTTTTCAAAAATATACAAGAGGAATGTGATTTAATTATCCTAGTACTGACACAGTGAGAGGAGAGCCTTTAATCATCTGTGTTTAAAACACAGAGCACTGGAAAAACTCCTGTCCCTCACACAGCTACCACTGACGTTTATCTGCATGGAGGATTCATCAAATCTCATTTTTCAACATGTTTGAGTAATGGGGTTTATGAACGGTAGACACTGTAAAACAAAAATGACAAAAAATGTTACAAATAAAGAGAAACATGGGGAGAGTTACCAAATGTTACTTTGGAAAAAATGTTTTTGATAAATGTGAAATAGGTTCACACAGAGGCACAAGAGTGTCTTAAAATCGACGTGGTGCCCTCTTGTGGCACAGCAGAATGAATCACTGCAACTGTATGTTGGCAGTGTTTTCTAGAAATGAATGATTGGCCCCAATTAACGACAGTCCTGATAATGGAGATGAACTCAATGTGAGTGTGGTTTTTTTTTTTGGAGTAAAGAGTAATTATACAGTGAAGTGTGAATAGAAATGTAAATCTGATGAAGACGCACAACCACCCACTTAATAAACATGCAAATGAGCTGCTTAATGGCCTGGATATTAATGCTGTTGGTGAGGAGTAATTAATGTATGAAGTCAGCGAGTCAAACCACAGTGATTACACCCAGAACTGAGTGAAAGTGTCAGAGCCAGGAGACGCAGCAGAGCTTCTTCTTCTTCTTCTTCTGTTGCAGCAGCGTGAAAGGCACCACCCGCCGAGAACAGCGGGGATACGAGTGGAAATGTCCGAGCGCAAAACATCTTTCATGGATCATTTGTCCCCAGACCGTGTGAGGTTTTTGTACAGGCCGACATCTCCGGCTGAGACGCCCCGGGCTCATGTCGGTTTGTTGCAAAAACATTATGTTTTCAGGGAAAATGCTCTACACTAGTGGGAAAACTCTCAGGGTGCGAGAGCGCAGATGGAGTCTGTCGTCAGGGCCTGGAGAGGGGACGTCCTCTAATGAGACTCCAGCGTGCTTAACTGTCATGACGGCTTCATTTCATTAGAGCAGTCCGAGCTTCTGTTGGACTCATGTGGACATTAATCTTTGGGCGGAGGTGTAGGACTAATGAGTAGAATTTACTGCGTAGTTCCTCCTCTACTCCTCATAATACACACTGCCATGACAAAAAACCTGAGGACAGTTATCTGATAACAACTGACTGATCATCCTGTTTGGCTGAACCAAGCTACATGCCTATGTGCTCCTGGATACTTCAGTTGTTTCCACCTTCCCTGCAGAGATTTTCCACCCGCGTCAGCCGTGTCACCTCACGCTGGAGCTTCACTACATAAAAACCCCGACTGAATCCTGCTCCCCTCACCATCCAGGGCCACTGCTCTCACACTTTGATGTTGCCCTTTTCCTCACACGGCCTTCGCTCTGCTCCATGAACACTCTCTTCCCTGCTCTCACCAATTCACTTTTCATGGCCCGCTGCTTGCCAACAAGCTTCCTTCACTTCTCTAGTCTGCCTCTCTCTCTCTCTTTCTCTCTCTCTCTATGTGCCGCACTTATGATTCCATCCATCTTTCTACCTCTCTGTGCAGTTATTATCTCCCCCGTCCACCGTCTTTCTCCCCACGTGTGTTGCCCCCTCTTCTTCTGACTCCCCTGATCTTCCCTGTTCCTTGCTCTGTCTTCATTTTGTTTCCTTTCTCTGGCATCTATGTGTGACTGTGGCTCTTGAGGGGAACGTGGAGGCAGGGCCGTGGTGCAGTGTGTTGGCAATAGACAGGGTGAGAGAGAGGAGGGGAGAAAAGGGGAGATTCAAGCTTCATGCTCGCCTGACGGATGCCAGGAGGCCCACATCTGTCTCTGATCAGGGGGAGCACAGACAGCCAGTAAAATGCAGACGTGCGCACACACTCACACGGCTATTTATGAAAACTGACCAAAGAAATGGTCAGAAAATGATGTGGCTAGAGTGCAAAGGTCATAGATGTTTCTGAAACAGCCCAGTCAATTGAATATAGAATATTAAAGTAAGGCTTGGTGTGTGGAGGCTTGGACATCTTCAGGGTCTCAGTCTCCACACATTAAGAAAGTTCAATTTCCCTGTGTCCCTGGTTTTCTTAAAATTGTGTTCAAGTCCAGCTCCGTTTTGACAACAGCCGGACTGCACTGATGATTCAAGGCCGCTTTCCTGAGACTTTGATACAAATGCGCGCTCTGCACAAAATCACACACACACACACGACCATCCCGCTCCACCGCAGAACGTCTCGGAACACTTAAGGTATGAAAACCTGGAGCAGGTCGGCTCCAGTAGCACAGACCACACCTGCCACTTTATTAATACCTATACACAACTCCATTTTTACTGTGCTGTATATTCTATTAATGGAGTTTAAGAGCTGGAGGAAAACCAGGGAGCATATCTCAAGGTGTAATTCCTAATAAAGAATTGATGCAGTGTATATAAATGGATGATATACAAGTTATATTTAGATTCTGAATACACACACTGCACTGCATAAATGGATACTACACAATAAAACACAACTATACTGCACTTTAAATGCACATCGTGTTATCCTCACTCTGGTCCTTACTGCACATCACTGTGTTTACACTGTGTCTTTGTTTTTGGCCCACGGGGGCTGTAGACGGACACCTGCCCGGTGAACACCCACCATAGATTTACTGATGTCAAAACATTAAAACACTTTTCCACCAAGATCTAAAAATCCAGATGGTTAAAGGTTCAGTCAAAGTGTAACCTTTGATGATTGCTGATGACTATGCTGTCTATTGTTCACCCAATTACATACATTAGATAACGCGAGCGGGGCTCCTAGTATATTATGTTGTTAGGGGGTAGAATCCCATTAAAAAGGAACATTTTTGTCCATTTTCTCACCAACAAAGGGAATGCGGGTCAAATATGGCTCTGATCGGATCAAGGGGCATAATACCAGGTGCTTAGGCAGCACTCGGGGGTCCTGGTGTGCCCGTCCCATTTATTCATCTTGGTTTTATTTATGAACAGATGATGAGATGGGGTTCATTGTGCTCCCTGGTGGTAAATAATCCACATTTAATTAGGTCTATCGCTGCCTTTCTGGCTGTTTTATGCCTCGGCTCTGCCTCCTTGGCTGTAAATCAAGCTGCAGATTGCTTTGCTACATTGTCTGTTTTTGTGAACCGCTGATTTTAAGCGCAGCGCTCTGCTCCGTGACAGCCGCTCTCTTGGCTTTTGGATTCGTTCGGAGCGCGCGACGGTGCCGGGGCGTGCGCCTGCTCCGAGACGCCGGGGCTGAATCAGGCTGCCCGCCGCCTCCACCCTGCAGCAAACAGTGAATAATGGAGGAGAGAGTCCACGGTCACGGAGGCTGATGAAGATAATGACTATTACAGTCATGATTACAGGTCCAGTGGCCAAATCTTGTAATGATGGCGCGGCGTTTTACGCACGGCTTCACCGGTGGATTTGAGAAATGACAGGTTATGACTGAATTTAAAGCAGAACCATGAATAATTAAAGCAAAGAAAACACAAACAGGGTCAGGAATGTGTTTTCATTCTGAATTTGATCGCCTCAGTGAGCTGCTGGCACAAGCTGGTCCCGGGATAAACGTTTCCCTGCTTTTAAATATTTGATGAAATACTCAGACTTTTAAATATGAGCGCACACGGAATTAATCCGGAGTTTTCTGTTGTTTCTTTTTAGTTTCAGGCCGTTATGAGCACAACCTGTTCCCATGCATGAGACCGAAAGGCACATGGATCTAGTTATAACACAATGGCTGTGTCATAATAAACAGAAACATATGACAACAAGGTCTTGGAAATGTTTTTTTTTTGAGAACCTTAATTATAACGTGGTTTCCAGCAGAGGTAAAGTTTAGTCTACACTCACGGAGCTTCTCTCTCCTGTCATTTATAACATTTATGCTGAAATCTAAAAAGAGAAGTATATTGGAACTCACCCTCTTCTCCTCTGACCCTCAGCGCCAGATGACCCATTAATGCCAACAAAAATCCAACCAGCGATGGCACAAAATCCATCTTGGAAGTTGTTTTTTTCCTCGGGTTTCCACACAACTGTTTTCTTTTAAGATAAGAAAGTCAAGGATGGACAAACAGGGAATTAAAAATCCAGACCCCTTTGGGATCAGAGTCCAAATGAATTCAGTGATAATCCCACAGGAGGAGGGAGCTGTAACAGCTACATGTCACTGAGGAACTTCTCGGTTTTTTAGATCTAATTTGTCCATTCAATGAAACGACGTGGCGCCGGATTTCATTCAAGAAGCGCAGGCAGAAAACGGACAAACTCCTGGATCAGACACTGACGGCTCCACGGCAGCTGTGGAGGCTTCAGCCTTGACTTCCTGCGCTCCTGGAGAGTCTTAAATAGCGGCTCCAACGCGCGTCAAGCTCCGGGTTCCAAACAGCGCGTCCCTGCGTAACGTTGCGCACACGGCGCTCGGATCCCCTGTGTGAGGAGCTGTCGGTGTGAAGTGGTCACTGCTCTAAAAACAGAAGTCACAGATGGTTGAAATACAGAGGTGCTGCACTCCTGGGTTTAAACGTAAAAAAAAAACACGTCTTCTCTGTGAGCGGTCCACGCGTGGAGGATCCGTGCAGCCTGAGAATCAGCGCCTTCTCCACAACAGACACTCTGAGGTGTGTGTGTGTATGTGTGTGTGCGTGTCCGTGAGCGTGTGAGAGCGAGTGTGGGATGCATGTGGAAGAGCTCGTGCTTTTGACTGGAGCAGCTATCGCGTTACAGTGCAGGCTCCTCAGCTCCGCCCCCTGCCGTCCGGAGAGGGAGAGGGAGAGAGAGAGAGGGAGAGAGAGAGGGAGAGAGTGCCCTCCCCCTTTTAGAAGATACACAGTATTAACTCTACAGATAAGGTACAGACGGATACAGTGCAACAGTAAACACTTTGAACAAGTTCTCTCAAAGCTGATTAAAGGAAGAGACAAAGACGGGGAGAATCTCACAGAGGTCAAAGGTCTCCCACATTTTTTAAATCAATGGTTGCCTGGGGCCCCACCTTCCAAGGGCTCCATAAAATGCTCCATAAACTTAACCGAAAACGTGCACAACAATTTTTATGTCTATGCAAGAAGTGGGTTTTTCCACTGACGGAATACTTTTCTTTTTTTTTTACAATAGTTTTATTTCCATCCTCAACCAAATCATGTTGGAAAAAAAGGAATAAAATGTGTAGTTTGGTAACTTTGTGCCTCTTATGAAGGGAAACTCCTGCATACTTTGAATTAAGTGCTTAAAATAAGTATTTATTATTTAATCAATTTAAATTAATTTGATTCAAACAAAATTTGTGGTGATTTTAAATCTTTTTCAATTTTTCCAATGCAATCGATTTGGGACCTTTAAGGTGATAGATATTATCATTTTTAAACATCAAACCAGTAGGTGGCAGTAATGTAAATCATAGCTGCAGATAAACCTGAAAAATGAGCAGGAGAAGAAAAAGCACAGAAAGTCATAAATCCCTTCATAAAATAAAAAATAAAAATGTTTGTGTCATTTAAATATTAATAAAGGTAAAAACGTTTTTAAGGTGGAAACAGACATTTTAAGACAGAACTCTAGCTGTAGATCTACATGGAACATGCATTTAACAACCAAGAGGATTAAATCTCACATTGAACACCAGTTCTTCTCATGAAGACAGGGTTGTCGGTGGTTGGAGTTTCAGTTTAAACACATCACCACACACACAGTGGAAGATGAAAATATCTGGGAGGATTTCAGAGGATGTAGGGTTTAACAGGGGCAGTCCTGAATACTCTGCCTCTAAGGTGAAATCTATATTTAAAAGATTGGCATATTTACCGTAAATGCCAACACACACACACACAGAGAGAGAGAGAGCCATGGAGTGTATAGATAAGCAGATTATCCATATTCCCATGTGGGATGAACCCAAACACATTCTCCGTGTATCTCTCTCTCCCCGTTGCCCTCCATTAACCATGCTCTGACCTAATATTTTGGGGGGTTGAGATGGAAAGGTGGGGGCAGAAATGTTGACAAATGGGAGAGGAGGGTATCAAATGACCCCAGGGGAGAGGGAGGGGGAACAGAGCAGAGAGTCACCCAGTGTTACTTGAAGGTTTTCGTACTGGCTGTTCCACCTCCTCCACCACTACTCCCCCCACTCTGCCTCCCTTCATCTCTTTATCTGGGTGTGAGGGTCACTAAGCGGGTTAAGTAAAGTTCACCTGGCGGTCGTCAATCAATTTATTCTAATCCACACCAATCCACACGCAACACTGATTGTGAAACAAAACACACAAAAAAACACATTATTGAAGCTTAAAAAAACAAACACGTGGCAGACTGCTGTATGCCAGTGTGGACCCTCACCCACAGGCTCAGATTAGCCAATCATGGTGACATCTGACAGCCAACGCATCCTTGGGTGAGAGAGAGGTTGAAAATGACTGACAGGCAGTGAGTTGATGGCATCTTGTCAACCTGGGGGATGCAAAGCAGCGGAGGGTGACAGACAGTCAGGCTGTGACACACAGACCTGTCATACAACCTCCTGTCAAGGGCATCGGGGTCTTTTGTTTACACTGTTTACAGCCCCGCCATCCACGCAGAGTAAAGTGAGAGGATTTTACTCCAGCAGGATAGAATGGGGTTAAAGTGGAGGGTGCATATATTTGAGTGGTGGATGTATGTAGTGCTGACTCACAGTGGACTCACAATAACACGCTGGTACCATCACTAAACAAGTTGAGCCGACAGATAGGAACCAAGGTAAGACTAAATATAGCCGCTTGTACTTGCCTATAAAGTATGTGTGAGAACTTTAGTAGAGTATGCGTCAATCTTTCAACTACAAGCCACATAAATAACGTCCTGTGTCACCTTAACCTGTTTTTGCAATAGCTAGTGATTTTCTTAAACAGTATTTTCACCTTTTCCTTCACTTGTGCACATGACTGAAACATTTCTAAAACTTATAGTTGCAGAAATATATTTTAGGATTATTTACAGCAAAGTGTACTTCATATATTTCACAACATTATTAGAGGGGTACAGCCCTAAGGGTTATTCTGTGCTCAGCACTATAGTACCAACAAGGATAATTAAAGTTTGGTTTGGCTTGACTGCTGGTACTTTCGTATGTGTTACTTGTTTTGGTAGAGAAAAATAAAAAAGTTCCATGTTGAAATATCTCTGGGCCAAGGGAATCAAACTGTTTCTAACACCCTCTACTGGGCAAAAAGGTGAGCGACCTTTCCAACACCAATGTAATCCAAATGACAACATACTGATTTTTGCATGTTGGGGTCTCAGTTAGCAATTGCTAACTGAGGTAGCACAGTAGCAGTAGCCCTTTAGCACCAGTAAGCTAAATACACATTCTTTAGACTTCAGGGCAGTTATGTTTTCTAAGGGTAAAACAGGAAATAGTTATCAGACAAAGCTAAGCAGACAAAATATTTTTAAAAGATTCCATAGATATGCAAAGATTGTTTTAGGCGTCACATTTTTGTGTCTCTGCAGAAAAGCTATGGTTTTATTGATCTGTGGCCCAGGCTGGTCCTCACAGACAAAAGTGTGCTGATCAAAGTCAGTTTTAATCCAAATAACCTGAACTGTCCCTTTAAGCTGCAGGCACAGGGTGTTGAGGAGGCTGCATTGCATCATAAAGTCTCCCATGTGTCCTGACCTTTAGGAATGCACCTCGCTGTTCCAAATAAAGATGCCAGCGAGGCTACATGCTGTACCTCATTACACAGCCGGTCCCTTACATTGTACTGTAACACAAGCCACGGGCAGGGCACATGGGCTGGACGCTGCGCGGAGAGGCCTTTCTCAGCAGATTATTTTGGGCTCACTACTGTGTCATTACTCGACCTCCCGCTCTGTATTTAGGCCTGTTGATTGTAGGGCTGCGGCAGGGCAGGGCCGAGGTGGGCTCTCCCTGTTTTGAGTCGAGGGCTTTGACAGTGGCCTTGTCTTTTTATGTGTTTTTGCGGCGAAAGCCGTCCGCGTGCCATTAAGTGTGCCAACCCCAGAGCCCCCACCCTCTGCTGAGAAACTCCTCTAACTCTCACCAGTGAAACGTTAAACGTAAACGTAGTTATTCCAGGGCCTGATGTAAATTTGTGCAGATCACATGGTTGGGGCCTGGCATCAGTTACTGCTATTGTCAGCACCAACGCTAGTGCAAAGAACACCTGTGTCACGGTGGAAGAGTTTATTCAAATAATTTACGTTCACCTCCCCTTTCCACATCAATCCCAACATATCATAACATAACATAAGTTATGTAAATGTACCCATCAAAGAGCCCCTCACCTGCAGGCTGCTGGGTTGCATAGACTGACTAGCTGAGTAAAGGTGAAGCGCCAGTCCGTATTTGCACAACAAGATAACAAAAATGTATTTTTATCAGTATTTCATCTTCAGACACATGCTGTAAAGTACCTTTTTTAGCTTCTCTCCTGTGTTTTAAACCCTGCTGTCTCAGAGGGGAGCACACATCTATTATGGTGTAATGAGGGAGATGTGCTGCTAAAATGAAACCCATCTCCTTGCAAGCATGTGTCATATTATGAGTCTTAAAAAAAACCCATGTGTCCCTGCGTTGGAGGCTGTAAAAGCACCATTACACTGAAATCTAACAGGGTCCATGCTGCTGCTGCCACAGGAGCAGCACACCCTCCTCCCTGTTTCAGTGTTTTCCCCAGGTCCTACCATCTGTGCTGCCTCTGTCAACCCTCTGCTCCAGAATACAGTCGACAAATGGCAGCCATACAGTCCAGCTCCTCGACTCAGCACACCTGCACTGTGGTCACTCATGGGCGGCGGGGGGGAACACAACAGGCCCTCTCTCCCACAGAAAGATAGCAAACACTGCCATGCTGCCCTTCTCTTATCAGACCTGGCTCCAGGCACCGACAGCATGACTGATAACTCTCCCTCTCTCTCCATTCTTCCTTGCCCGTCTGTCACACACCTCTCTAGCTCTTCTTGCCCCCACCCCCCACTGGTTCGTTCAGCAGTCAGCCAGCTGAAGGTTCAGGAGAAACACAGTGCAAGTGTCTTGTTGTGTGTCCTGACTCACTCTTGAGAAGCTGAGTGATCCCAGTCGACACCTTCGGCTCTCTTCTCTGAGGATCTGAAGGTGGAGGAGATAAGGTGGAGATAGCCTCGACTTGACCCTATCAACGTTTCCAGTGAGTGAGTTAGGGGGTCAGCGGAGGGTAAGAGGGGGTCGGTGCTGTAAGAACTTAAAAAGAAGCCCCCACAAAGAGGGCGCTTTGCAATATTTCCATCCACTTTCAAGAGCATAAACACATAATTATGTGATAATTACTGTTACTGTTGTGCACATACTGGAGGTGGAGTTTCTTCAAGGTCCAGAGACGCTGGGGATCACACTGCCTGCTGCATCCTAATCTACCAAAACAGTGGTTTACAAACCTGTAATTCAGGATTGTCCTGGTCAAGATTATTCTGATTCATTATACAAGTGATGCGGCTGGTGGTAACGTAGCCTGACTCAACAACAATTGAAACATGTTATTTCTATGTCTGCTGATGTCTTTTCCATTTTCTACTTTGGTCAGTGGAAACCAAAGATGTTACAAAAACATTTAGTCTACCAAATGTAAGCAGTGGATTAGCAATTCCTCTGTGGAAACCATTGCTCTTTTATGTACTTTGGTGCAGGAGATCAAACTTAAACCCTGACAAACTGCAGCTTTTTTCCAGAAATGTG